CCAACGGTTATCGGTTCTTCGAGTCAAAACTACTATGACAAAAGTAAGTAGTAAGCAATTTGTGGGGAAACTGGGTTAATGAACAATCAACTTGTGTTGGATATTCCGACAATCTTAAATACATAGCCCTCCGGTGACGACTTAAGAGAATCTATCACCATAATTTCCACCCGTGGATGTTGTAACAAATACGGGTAATTCCAGAAATATCTCATGGTTCTCAATAGATTCCGGTATTTTTTTAATATATATATAAGAATATCTGTGACAAACGAGCACACAGTCCACTTGATGGTAAGTGGTTACTGTGGTCCATAGATACCTACATTAATACTCAATTAAGAATCAAAATGCAGATACGTTATCACCCTTGAGGACTAGAATGGAATGCTTCGTTTCCATTAAAAAGGCTCTCTTGTTCTCTACACTTACCATACGAAACACAGCAGAAATAGATGCTATTTTACGCTGGAGAGCGTGGTGCTACACCGGTCGAGTCAACCTATTCATGCTACAACCATAACAGCTGTAGCGTGGCTCTACCACGTATAACAATTTCTTTAACACCACACGTAAAATGTTTAGACCAGCGGCAAGGAGCAGCGTCAAATGTGTGAGATATCTGTCAATCCGATCGCTAATTTACCTGCGTGGTGAATTGGTGAATAAGGCAAATGCTAGCCGGAAAGACCCATGTTCAGTAATGAACTTTTGTGAACTAATGAAGAAGTAGACGAAATAGATATATAAGCCGTTTAATGGCGATATAAGAGAATTCTAAAATAGTATCTGTGTAACTGTGCGCTTATCTGTGGCATCATAGCTCCTGAATGAATGAACCGATATTGACTAAGCTTTTTTCATTTAAATAATGTCTTAATAAACTTAAGAGAGAATTCTTAGCCATGTTACACGAAAATATGTATGCAGCACGCAGAAAAGTATTTAAAATTTCAAATTACGTTATTATTTTTTGAATAATGGTTTATATTAAATATATATTAAGTAAATAATAAAATGACCGCCTCGTTGGTCTGGTGGTTGTAGTAGAGCGACTGCTGATCATGAGGTCCTGGGTTCGAATGCCGGATTGGATCGAAAAATTAATTATTAAGTTTTTCCAAGACATTCTCAGTAGCTGCTAGTTGTAGGTTGTAGGGAGTTGGCAGTGTCTCATCCCAACAACACGGGAAGCACGTAAAGCCGTTGGTCCTGCGCCTGATCTCTCTCCGGTCGTGTCTGTTTACCGTTCCATCGGATTATGAGAGTGAGGGAATAGAGTGCACCCGGTCATGCGCATACACTTGGGCAACTATAATCCTGTCCTGCGCCGATGGCTAGTCTCGTTGAGGCAGGCCGCCATGACTGAAATTCGGTCTGGAGGAGGACGATAAGTAAAACTGATGTGATTTACTCGTATTGTATTAAATATGTATTTGCGCATGTGAACTATTTAGTTGAAACGGCAAAACAAGTGCTCTTGGTTATATTCTCTATGACTCTGATGTTGACTCAAGTTCAAGAAGATGATCTTAAGTTTAGTCCGTTTGCTGCCTCAAGAATCTATAGTGTTGCCGTCAGTGACTGGCAACTTGGTTAACTTAACTGGTGACTTGGCCATCGCATATTAACATAATGTATCTCACAATAATGTGTGCAAGTTTAGGGGGTAATCTGTGCAAGTAATAGATATTATATTAAATTAGATTGCTTAGTGCGATGGCCAAGTCAATCTATATATTTAAAACATAAAAGATTTTTAACATTGATATAGTCACTATAAAATGTTGTTAGATTAGGTAATTACTTAATAACTTAAAACAGAAGGATCCTTAAGTAGGGACTAAATAAATTAACCGACTTGGTATTACATGGATCTCACAACTTTTTACGGTAGAACTGAGTTGCGAGACTTGGTATTTTTACAAGTTATGTTTTTAATGGCATCTCATTTCTTTTGGAGATAAGATTGTCCTACTTATTAACTTTCCGGTACCTTCTACTTCTTGAATACCAACAACGTACCTATCTACACCTATTACACATAATATACAAGTACACTGATTCATTCACTGCACATGTAACTTTGTAATTCTATATATTTATATGGGATTACAAAGTTATTTATGCAGTTGGTGTATCTAGAAAACTGGACCGAAATTAAAAATATTTTAGTTTTTCCTTGATTTATACACCAAACACTAATTGTGTTCTGAATTTGAAGCTTCTATGTCTGCTAGAAGTGTCTTAGAGTTTTAATGATCAGTCAGTGACAAAATTGAGAAACTTTGACTAGTTGTAATTCTTAAACTACTGGTTCATATTGGATGAAATTTGAAATGTACCATGTTTATATAATTCCTACTTGGGTACTGAAAATTCAGGCTTCTAGTTTTATCCACTACGAATTTATAGGGGGTCGAAAACGGCGTGAATTGTTTCGAGAAAAGAATGGTACTGCCGTGCCGCTTTTGCTCGACTTGGCGGGGGCACTGCCGTGCCCCCAGATAAAGTTTTTAAATAAATAAATAATCGTATATTGCGTAAATAAGCAACTAATTAATAATAATTAATCGTTCGTGTCAGCGAGTTTATGTTTTCATAACAATATTACGACCATAATATTATAGTTAGTGGTATTTTAGAAATGAAACGTTTATTATTGTAAAATTTTATGTGTTTTTTCTCTCTTTAAAATTATAGTTATAGGGTAATTTAAAGTCAGCCTATATACGTCATACAACTGGGCACAGGCTCCCTCTCATTTGTGAGAGGGTATTAGGGCAAGAAAGTGTCAATGCGTGTTGGCGAACTTCACATGTCTTCGAAATATTTTTTTTATTTCTCAGACATGCAGGTTTCCTCACCGCTAAGCACGTGGTAAATCAGCACTTAAAATTGCAACTAACAATTTTATTGGTGCCGGCGGAGATCGAATCCGGGTTGCTCGCGAAATGTGTTTTACAGCGAGCGCTAACCATCTGAGCTAACACGGCTTGGCACGGCATAGGGCTGTTTAAATTATATTATTTATACGATATTTAGGTGTGTGTACCTCATAATATGATGTCGTGGGTTTTTTTACTTAATTAAATATAGAGTATTCACGAGGACGTGATACATTATTAAAAAAATGCTACTAGGTATTACGTTCTGTTTTCGTTAAATTTAGTATTAAATTATCTTTTAATAAACTACTACGGCACTAAACTCTATTATGAAGAACCAGAATTTATCAAAACAGGCACGTATGGTAATTCATAATGCTGTGTTAGTCCCTACTTTAATGTATGGTAGTGAAAGCTGGGTGTGGCAGAAGAAGCACGAAAGTAAAATAAATGCTGTAGAAATGCGGTCTTTAAGGAATATGCTAGGGTGTAATCTGAATGACAGGGTGAGAAATTGCGTGATAAGAGATAAATGTGGTATGCAAGATGATGTTGTGACCAGGATTAAAAAAAGGAATGCTTCGGTGGTTTGGTCACGTAGAAAGAATGAATGAAGAAAGAGTGACAAAGCAAATTTATATGGCAGATGTGAATGGCCGAGTCGGGAAGGGACGCCCTAGGAAAAAGTTTATCGACCAAATTGGCGATATTTTGAAAATGGGCCACGTTAGAAGTACCCTTAACCGACGAGCATGTATGCGTAGATATATGGATGTAAAGGAGGCGAAAGAGGTATGTCAGGATCGTGCCAAATGGAAGTCCGTAGTCTCTGCCTACCCCTCTGGGTGACAGGCGTGAGTGTTTATATGTTAAACTACTACGGCTTTCCTTCTCCATTTACTTCTATATATCCTATTATTTATCCTGTAGACTTTCGAAATTTAAGTATTCAAATTTGCACGAAATTGATCAGCAGCTTAGAATGTATTTTTAAGTATAGAAAATATAAACCAACTTAAAATTGCAAATTCATGTTTTTTCAAAGTTATTTAAATAACAAGCTTATGAATGGCACGTAAAAACAACCACTATACTGATGCCATAAGGTAATAAATACTGTGAATTCTGCTTCCGTTAGATTATTGTTTTCAAGCGTTTCGTGAATAATGCATTCCCTATACTGTTTTGGGATCCCCGGCAGCATTTTCATTACATATTCTCTATTTTCTCATCCCTAAAATACGGTCATATACATATTTATGGGTCTTTGGATCGGCTGTTGGTTTTGTTTATAAATTCAAACTGAAAGGTCCGCTCGATCATCCTAGTGATCACACTAAAACTTTTAGGTAGTTTTCAATGTGATTGTGTGAGAATAGATTGGCGATTGCAGAGTACTTCGTACGGACGTCTCGTACAGACGTGTCCCCATCACTACCATAAAAGTTTTATACCATCACATTTTGGAGCGATGAGATATATCTGCCATTACGCATAACTGACCTTTACGACATCTAGGGGAGAATTTGGGTGAAGAACTCTCTTACGACGCCACTACAAAGTAAATTCAGTACAATTTCAGACTGTGAGGTGTTTAATTTTAGTCATCATAGGTAACAACGCATCTTCAGCTTTCTCTTTTTTAGGTTGGCTGCAGACGTCCATGGATCGCAATAGACTCTTGCTATAAGTTGGACTGTACGGCTGTTTGTCATTTCGGATTTCCTAAGAAATTTTTTAACATGTAAGTTAAGCTTTCTAAAGATTATAGACAGGGTTTGTTAAGTATTAATTTAATTGTTACTCTTGGTCGTGGGGTCCTAGCTCTATAAGGCTTTTAAGGAAATAGCAAAAAGGTTAATCGACGTCACAGGAGACCGAAGAGCTGGCAGCTACCTCGGACAAAGAGTTAGTCTAGCTATTCAAAGGGGACACGCTGCCAGTATCTTCGGAACCTTGCCTAAAGGACTTTTTTCTTCCGAAGGAAGGAAGGAAGGAAGAAGGAAGGAATGTATTTTAGTTATTATAATATATATTTTTAAGGTTTTTAGTATTAGAATTAGAATTTAGAATGTTGTTTATTTTGTGTATATTGAATAATAAAATGAGAACATGACATTGTTACGTCTGAAAATTTGTAAGTAAATGTACATTATACAAAATGTACAAAATATCATTAAGAAGTGTTGGAGTACAGGATAAGGGCGCATGCCTGAAAATTTATTTGTACTCGACTCGACTAACCTGAAAAAACCTCGGCGCTCTATAAACCAACTATTTCATTGGTTAGGTAGCACCGAGTAAACCAATAGTTAATTTTTCTTTCAAACTTTGTTTTGATTTTTAACTACTTGGCAGTGATATAAAAAAGTAAATGTGCAGGAAATAAAATATGTTTTGTGACAATCCCTTCCTGTTATCTTAATTTCTGCTTCACTACCCTCTCAGAATGAAGGGTAAACACAAAGCGGTGAAAAATTTATAGAATCTTATTTTGTTTTAGTTTAATGTCCCGTATTCAGTAAACGAGTTATATTGGCTGTTTAAAGAGGTATAAATATAAATATAATGAATAGCACGTTAGGTACTTATACATAATATTACACTTATTTTTTCAACGACATTATTTTATATGCAAATTGTTTCCGTTTTGTTACAAGGGCTTTTACAGTTACCAATTCATTGTAACAAAAAATAGTACGAGTTCTTTGTGACGAAAGTAAAAACTTTCCAATCTAAAACTTAACGAAACTACTTTTCCAAAGGCAGCTTTAATGTTTTTTCGATGAATCCCACCATTAATTTTTATAGTATCACTTGTGTTCGATATTCGACCAATTGTAGAAACCACGCTAATTATTTTTATTTTTTTGGTAATATGCACGATTATAAGACATTTTTGTTTACTCTGAAGATAACGATGGGATTTAACAAAGCCTTATTGCAATTGGATGAATAGACAGACGCGGAAAATTCATCAATGTCATCATTAAAACCTCGCAAAAGTAAATTTGAACATAGGTCTCCCACTTTTTATATAATATTTATTTAGTTTGAACTATTCTGTTTAGCGTCAAAACAGGTAAAAAAGTTTCTTTCTTAGACGAACTATTAGTCAGAAAAGTTCCTGCTACAATAGTTTGTGTTTGTGGCATATACGAGTACGTTATATCTGAGTCAACTATCAAGAACTTTTTGACATTAAACTGAGAAACGAGCAAACAGTTCACTTGATGATGAATGGCTACAGCTGACATAGCAGAATCTCATTTTTCTTGATAATACCCTGTTTAGAGACGGGGTACGTGTTTTTATATTGTTAGAAATTGTTTCTTATAGATGTTCTTGTATAGTGATAGTGCACGCAATTGTAGGAAGAAAGATGCTTTTTAAACAAATCGATGTATAATATACCATCTTATTTCTAAGGCGAACATTAGCTTGTTATTTTCACATCTTTTATGCAAATATGTACATTGAAGATTTTAGCACTAAGATGGGATGCTTCAAAACCTTTAATTGTGGCGCGTTACGGTAGCGACACTACCAAAAGAGAATTTTGACTCGTTAAATACGCTTAATGTCGTATTAATTATTTACGGTGTAAAAAACTTTTGTTCATATGTCGCATGATATACCCCCGGAAATACAGTATTCTTCATGTTAATCCGAGACTGAGGTAATAGGTGAATGGCGGGCGGCGGAAATTGTGGGTGAAAAGGTGGCTTAAACGTTTCGTGTAAGTTATTGCCGAGATATAGCGAGTTTTGTTATACGGTGCATGATAATGCATCCACAAATGGATTGTTGTAATGGTCTCTTTATAGTACAGTTTCTGATGTTAGCGCAATTTCGAGCACGGTAATTTGTTGATAGTTAGCACACGCCACAAAATGCAGTCCTGCATTAGGTTTAATAATTTTTATGATTAAGGGATTTTTAATGTTTAATGTGTTGTTAAGAGTTATAGCACGAATGGTTAACCGGGGAATAACCGCGCTCTTTTAGAATACCAGTGTGAAATGCTGCTATGTTTCGTATGGTGAATGTAAAGCACCGGCCCTTTTTACTGGAATCGAGGCATTCCATGTTAGTCCTCAGGTGCGACAACGCATTCCGTATTTTGATTCTTAATCGATAATAGAGGTAGATGTGTACGTGCTAGCATTTACTTACAATCAGTGGACTGTGTGCTCGTTTGCCACTCTTATTCTATAAAAAAAATTGCAGCATTCAGGAAGATTCGATTGAAGCAGATGGTTTAAGACAGTGTAATAATATCGATGATGACAATGTATAAGTTTTTTTATTTAGAAGAGCGGCAAAACTACTAATACTATATATATATATATATACATATATATATATATATACCCCTTTTTTTCCAATCCCTCGATATTCCCTTTTTCCCCCTTGTCTCTTTTTTTTTTTTTTTTTTTTCTTTTTGTTTTTTTTGTGCCTTATCGAACGATTTACCCAGTTTAAGGCGACATTTTGAAATCATAAAAAATATCTCAAAAATGTTCTCGATTTTTAATGAAATAGGTATTAAAATATATACTATATAATAATCTATGCATGTTATATTAATTTAGGCTGTAATAATGAGGAAATAAATTTGGAATTTGGAACATTCACATTTTTAGGGTTCCGTAGTTACACAACAAGGTTACCTTACAGTTTTTGCCATGTTCGTCCTTCCGTTCGTCCGCGGTTTTACTCAGAAACCCTAGTTGCTACAAATTTGTAATTTGGTATAATTATAGATATTAGTTACGCCTACAAAAACATTTTTATTTTCGGTACTCCCATACAGGTTAAATGGAGGGCAATTTTTTTATCCGTCTATTCCATAGTGCATACATCGTTTGATAGGTCTTTTAAAAACACTGGGGTTATGAAAGAACATATTTACGATTAAGGGGTCAGTTTACGAAATATTTAGCTTTAAAGTAGTATTTTTCATTAGAACCAAATGAGAAAAGTATACAAAACAGAAGTATATATAATGAAGTTAACAGGAAAACTATCTCATCTAAGTAGAGGTAATAAGTCAACGAGTAATAGTTGACCTACATATAAAATGCACTTGAATTAGTAAATAAAACAAATACATAGAAAATTACCTAAAACTAGATGCATTATATTTTATTATAAACTGGAAAAAATAAATATTTTATAAAGAAAACGACCCATATGCATTACTACTATAGCTTATCTTTTTCATCTGCGGGATAGGCAAAGAGAATCCTTCTTACTTACATATTACTTTCGCTTATTTTTTAGTTTGTAGTTATTGTAGGCCTCATTCAAAGTATTGATGCAATCATATAGCCTCAAACAGTTTCATTCGTCATATTCTTGGTTTATTTGGGTGACCCTCAGGATAATTTAGCAGTGGTGGTTTACGGGAAGGTTCGTTACGATCATATATATTTTAGGGATGCACTGCCGGGAATATATAGATAGATGAACTACGATCATCGATCACTAATCCCATACAAAAGTTCTCTAAAAACTGTCGCCAATTGTTGTGACGGAACTCTAGTTGAAATAAATATACATTAATGTAAATTCAACCTTAAATACATTGCCTATAGTTGTATTCACAAAGATACGTACGAAAAGCAATAAATTTTTATGACTGATACTGGCTGGTCAACCTATATCAAAACAAATTCAACCTTACACGCGTGTTTTAAAGTCAGAATCAAAAGTGCTAGTAAAACGGAATCAAATTTTACGACCGAGGCTCGTAGTTTAGACAAGGAATCATTGGAGTCGAACTGTCCAATATTTCTTGTTAACGTTATTTTAATTTTAAAATGTTTCAAACTTGTTCTAAAATCTGGTATACATAAAGCATATTATATTCTATTCTATGATGTATTATGTGTAATGGTTATAATTTACCTGAATGTAAATACGTTTTTGGATAGGATACCACATTCATTTAGTAACGAAAGTACTTGAAGCAGTCATAATTATTTATTTATTCTTTAATCTTGTGTCAAAAATTTAAAAATATTGCTTGACGAAGAACTTAAATCTAAATTCAATAGTTACTAAATATAAAAAGTATGTACAGAAAGTTGTAAGTCGTAGGCATATTCATCACTTTCTAAAACATGCTTCGAACATACAACGCTTCCTTGGGTCGGCTTGAAGAATTCTTCGGACTTTTGACATGCTATGACTGATATCCATTCTGCACACCTAACTGGATCTCGAGGAAAGCTGTAAAATTAAAAATAAAATCTCACATCTTTAATTTTACCACATGCACAATCAGTTTCTACTATTGCACATATTCAGAATTAAATATTTAATATGTTACTATAATATTTGGAGAAACTATAAAAAAGTCTCATTAAACAAAAAAAATCATACTTTAATAATAAAAAAATAATAACGTCTCCAACAAATGGAACAGAGTCAACGAACAATTATGACTTATTTTATTAAGACTTAATTTAAAAAATGTTTTACGGAGATTTCTTGACAAAATATAAGTATTTACAATACAGTGATAATAATTAAATAATGATAATATTAATACGTACCGAAATTAAGAAATTACATCCTTTTTTTAGCGTCCTGGATGTGTGATTTTTACACTTTTTAAACGAGCACTGAGACATGTTTACCGTCGGAGTGTTCGAATGTAACTAGATTAAAAGTGCACCCAAATGTTCGAATGGGTGCTCATTTGGAGAGGTCGTTTTTTGTCACTGATTGTGTATCTAGTTTTTTATTAGTGATCGACGACTACGATCATCTTTGTACGGACTTTGCATGTAAATAATTTGATGTAAAATATATTATTTTCATAATCCAAGTTTTTAACTTTTTTTGAAAGTTACCATTTTCCTATTTGGGCCTTTTTAGCGGTCATTTTAGCGGTTAAACCACGAACTCACTTCCAATATCATAATTATCAAGAAAGCCTACGTATTGTAAGGGGCAACTACGGAACCCTACCTCTACATTGTGCGTGGCTCGGCAGGCACTTGGCCAGTTTTTACTTGAAAATAATATAATATTATTAATTTATTTATTATAGTTAAAATAAATAACTATGCCATATATTGAATCATCCAAAAATACGAAAGCAATATCATCGACAGTAAGATAACATCCTAACACAAGTCGCAGACGCTTATGTTATTAGGACTTTACCGAAAAACACCGGATATACTATGATTTCCTAGTTCTTCGATCTTTACCCGTAACAAATTACACTTGATGGTATTAATAACGCCTTTGTCATGTAAGTGGTTAGAATAGCATTGGTTGGGCCATAAATTAAGGAAAGGAGGGTTTGGCGGATTATCGAAGCAAGTGATGAGCAGATGTAAGAAGCGGCTATGGGACAAAACTAGCTGATCTATACTACTTCACCATCACCACAGTTATATTTGTTCTGTTTGTGGTTAACAAAGTAAATGTTGAGGAAAATAACGAATACTGGATTATTTAATTCGTTATTTAAATAACTTTTTGCCATATTCGAAGAAGATCAGAAAAATGAAGTAGTAAAGTATAGCAATTCACAAACGTGAATTAAATTGAATAACTCAATTATATATTTATAGGTGCTGTGCAGCGGTTCGCAGAGCTGCCCAAGTACACTGAGGTGAACCCGGGCGAAGACGCCCTGCTCACGTGCCGGATATCCGACAAGAAGGGTATCTGCTCCTGGCAGAAAGATAACAAGGTAATTATGCTACGAAAATTTCTCTCGTATTTATTTTGCCTTTTTAAAGAAATGGATATTAAAACATTCCTAATATAAAGATTAGCAAAGAATTAAATTATATATATAAAACATTACTACCGAATGCACATGTTAGGTATGTCAAATTCCGCCTTACATGTTCTCAATTTTTTTTTCGAAAATCACTACAATATTACCTATGCTAGTTGGACTCTGCGCTTGTTTGTCGCCCTTATTTCACGTAATAAAAATTCTCTATCGAGAACTCAAGCCTTTTACCATGAGATAACATGATAATATTCAACCTTGCCTTTATATAAATTATTTTGCCTTTTTAACGATTATATTTTAGGTTAGACCTGGGTCACAGCAAAGATCTAATAGAGATACCAAGTGACACGTATTGTATATATAGTAACAAAGTCTGCTACGTATTGTAGGTAAACGAGTACGTCTCATTGATCGATTGTACGGATTTAAAAAACGAATGTATCACTCGGGTCAAAGACTAAACAGAAACCTGCAATTGACCGGCTGTCGATCAATTTGCACAAAATCGTAAACAAATCAACAAACGATTTATTCGATAACAATCTGTTAATTCGTTTTTAATTTTTTAGCATTGTAATATCGAATTTCTAATAATGCTTACTGTTCGTTTGACTCACGCAAACACATATTATACGTCGAATCCAAAAGAGGTATTTCTCAACACATGGTAATTGCTGTGTTTACTCTTTAATTCACCTTTCCAGGGCTGTGTAAATGAGCTCTAGAAACGGCGTCGTTAACTAATTTGTAGGGCAATTATGAAGAGTATAGAGTTAGTAAAGGCAAGCCATTCGTGCAATAACATTATTTTTATAGCTTTTTCATTAATGAACTGAATGTATACTGCAATAGTTATATATTATCATAGTACTTAAGATTAAATACAAATAAACACCGCCTTATTGCAAAAACAAGTTCATAATTAATCTCCGGTTTCAACTAGGGTCTGTTTCAGCAAAGATGTCTCGTAGAGTACCTATATGCTAAAATGTAGAAGAAAAAATCGAAAACCGTAAATTTTTTATTATATCACAAAATAAAACATTTATTGCGATTACGAGCTTACTGTACTGTGTGTACTACATAGTTGTTTAAAATAAACTTGTTACAGTTTACAATAATTATTATTATATTTGGAGAGGTGCTAACGGTTTGAAGGTCAAAAGGTAAAGGTACAAATTGTAAGGCCGTTGGCTGTTACAATGGCAATATATGAAAACGTAACGATTTGCTGTTGTTAAAATACCTACGATTATTATGCAATCTAAAGTGATCTTTAGTGTAACTTAATGGGGTGAAAGTAGCTTCAACATTCCCAATATAAATTTACACATATGATTTAGAATATAGTTATTATATAAACTACGAATACATATAACATAAAGATTAGATATGTGCACGGCATGTACCCTACATTAGCAGTTGGAGCATAGTTTATGAATTTTAGTATGTTAATTATTTTGATGAATGTTTTACGTGCTGTTAATACATATTAAATAAAAATAAATATGTAGGCGCATCTATAAAATGCCGGTTGGATGTAGTAACTAGTTGAAATTGAGGGTATATCGGGAAACTCGTCTGTGCAGTACAAAGTTCATTGAAGGGGCAGACCGCAGGAGATTCCGCTTGAGTCGTTTCTCGAGTGAAGTCATTCTACGCGTGCTAAGATAGTCGTTGTTCTGTCCATTGTGGTGATTTTTCTGGTGCAGGCAAGGAGGATGGTGTTACTGAGAGGCTGTGCTGAGTTACGTTAAGATGGGTAAGGTTGCTGTTGGTTTGCATAATTTAGTGTTATCATGTAGTTGTGTCCTTCACATTGCACTGGTGTGCAATTGTGATGGGGATATACTGCGGTATGGTCAAACTGTAATTACTCTATGCTAAATGGATGGTGCGTTACGCTGTCCTATTATTGATAATGATAAATTGCGAAAGCAAGAGAGCAAGTTGAACATCAGCTCTCACACTTTTACAATTTTTAATAATTAACGCTATCCTGTTACTTCCCACAGAATTGGCTTATCCTGTTGTACTTTCCGACAAATACATATTATCTTTGTTAATGATATTTTGTAGACGATATGAAAGACAAACTAGTGGAAACTGTCCATGCAGTCGGAGCTAAGTTCTGCAAGACCCGCCGAAGAAGAACACAAAAACTCTCCAATCACACTCTTAACCTCATGGCTGTTAGACGAGAAATGAAGCTGCAATCTTCAGCAGATTTGATAGCATACAGGCAACTGAACAGACATATCTACAAATACATGCGCCGGGACTTACGCAACTTTAATAGAACTCGTATTGAAGAAGCGATAGAGCAAAACCAGGGCTCCAAAGTCATTGCCAGAGATCTGTCTGCCAGAAAGAGCCAACTATCGAAGCTGAAGACCGAGTGTGGCAGCATCGTTTACAGAACGCCTGAGATTTTGAGTGAGATTGAGAGGTTCTATGGGCGGATGTATACGTCATCGTTAGAGCCACACGCAAGTGTGAGTAATCCATTCAAGAGTCCAAAACCCGCCACGTGCCACGTCTGCCATTTTATTTTATTTGGATTACGCAAAATACAGTCCACTTTCGTCATTCGCGCACCAATAATTTTGCGGTCATTATTCCCAGAATCGAACCCGAGTCTCTACAGCTCCACCATTTTTGTGGTCCCTTCACTCCGGATTCAAAGGGGCAACCTAGTCGTCCCACCACATACCCTTCGTCGATTTGTACAGAAGACTGAAAAATACAATATGCCACTTTGCCTGGTGTATGTCGACTAAGAGAAATACTTCGATTCAGTCGAAAGGGGGACGCCCATTTTCGGCCATGGAACGCCCAACAATGTGAATTTGTTAAAAAATTATATCTTTATTTATGGTTATTAATCGCGGTATTCATTTATCCTCAAACAATGGGAATATTTTTGCACAAATTAAAAGTACGGGAAACATAATAATAAAAATTAGGTAAATCATTATGTCATTAGTTTGTGAATAAAAAAAAAGTGTTGCCAATCACAAAACACATTTAAAAAATCGATTCTCTTTTTCGATCGATTATTTACGGTGTCATCATTACAGTGCTAATATAATTTTTAAATAATTATGATGTTACGATAATTAAACAAGCGAATTACTAGCTGATTTCTAATGAATTCTTTAGAGAGTAACAAATGCTACGGCACAATTTAACTGTTAATCTTAACCGATCTTCTTTGAAAACAGATAAGAACTGTTATTCTTATCTGTTTTTAAAGAAGATCGTTTAAGTTATTCTTATCTGTTTATAACAACACATTTAAAATAGAATCATGTTATGATAACGAAACAAGTTAGTTTCCAGCTGATTTACCATGAATCCTTTAACCTTTCGAGCGGCAAAGTCGCCTATACTTGACCAACACCTGCGGGCCCTGAGCGCCAACGACGTCTATAGTTGACAAGAAACCCGGCTCCGAAAAATATGAAATATAGATATTGGAAAATTATTACAGGTATTTTAATTCTACACTCCTCAAAATAGGAATAACCCAGCAACATGTGAGTATAAAAAACAAGTCTTCTAGAGCCACAAGTACTAAGAAACATTGAACTAATAAAAATGGATTTTTATCTAAGCAAATACTATGTCCAGCACGCCAAAGTCGTCTATGGTTGACCGCTAGTGTCAAACGCGGGAGGCATAGATTTCTTGAAAACTATCCAAAATTCAGCTCAATGGTGTTTTTTTTTTCTATTATTATTGATATTTGAATAAAATTAAAGGTTATAAACATAAAACTATAATTAGCTACATGAATAAAAAAATGTTATCAGATTATCTTCGCATAATAAATCTAATATCTCAACTCTAGCGCATCTTTAGCGCGTCATCGAAAATCAGTTCACTGGGCACCGTGATCACTGGATAGACGACACCCTGATGACGTCATAAGTGATTACCGAGAAAAGTAGAGCAATGCAACATGAACGATTCCTCAGAACTCATTCGGATTTTGGAAAGCGTCGATGATGATGAATTTTGATTTTTGATTGATGAATTGAATTTTTGATTGATTGGTGAACGAATATGTTTATTTATTCCATGACCAAGATTTTAGTATTATAAGGCTGATTTACCTAGTGCGAATAATTATATACAATTGTTGATTAATGAATATTTATGTACCTTTTTTTTAATAATAATACAAAATTACAATTAATGTTTTTTTTTTACTTAGGGTGTGAAGAGTAATTTTTCATTTTGTGTTGTGCCATTTTCTTTCTCAGTCTCAAAATCATCTAGCAGCATCAGCATCATATCAAATCCCCATTGTCATAAGAGTGTAAGACTTTTCTTCTGTGCGTCACTTGGCCTACGCCTTCCCCGACACATAAAATATTATAAATCGATGTCTGTATATTTCGGTTAGATCGATTTTGAAATCGATACACAACATTCTAAGAATGTTTCAAAAGGGAAGGTCAGCTACGCCGTTGTCGTCCAGTCGCGACAGTGTCGTCATTAGGATGGAGATTAGATGCTAATGTTTACTACTATTTTATTGTTATTGTTTGTTTTTTATTTATGTTTATATGTACAAAGTACATATATAAAAAGAGTGGAAGACGGCACAAGATTAAATAAAACATACAGTTTATTAAGAGTCATTTATAGCATAAAAAACCAACAAAAACAAGTTATTTCACGTTATCGATATATCAACTCTTGGCAACACTATTTTGTTTTGGCGCTTTGGCGTACAGGACACGGTAATGCGTTTTTGGCGTGGCGCTCAAAAGGTTAAAGCTTAACAAAACGCAACTGCACAATTTTTATCAATTTCAAGACAAAAACAACCGTTGTTATCGGCTTGGTTGAAAACGTTAACAACCGCCTTCACATCTGTAGTTATGATAATTAAATAAGCGATTTAATAGCTGATTTACAATGAATTCTATGCAGTATAA